GTAAAGATAATTTCATCAAACGGAGACTGCCTAGCCATGTGAATGAGCCAGACAGAGATAAATGGTACATTTTAGAAGATCTTTACGCGTTGCAGAAAACGAATGAAGATTTGTCATCTGTGTGAACCTAATAAAAATGGTAAGTTCTCTAGGCAAAAATATTAACAGGTGCCTCCATTCTTTTTCTAACTTCTAATTCGAGCATTTAGGGTTGGTACCTGAAGTGAAGCTCAGGATTTCTGTACCTTTAATACCTGTGTGGGGCTAGTAGCTGTAAGTTGTATGAAGTGCTGCAGCTGTTGAAATGTCTCCTGCCACACAACTGTCAAAGGTACGGGAGCCCTGTGATGCATTTTATGCAGTCGCTCTACTAGCAGCCCTTCACTCCCACCCATCCTAATTTGCCAAGGCCGCTTTTCTGTTGCTATGGTGACATAAGCTTGCTGTCTTTCTCTGGGTCTATTCCTTCCTTCCATGCCTGTCTGTGAAGTCAGCTCATACACACTGCTCCTTGACTGCTGTTATTCACTCCCCCCCCCCTCCCGTGAAGTGGCCAAGTGAAAGGAAGGACAGGGCTCTGCTACCTTTAACAGTGATGGAGAGCTCATTTCACCAAGTGTTACTTGTCAGGCAAACTATACCTGCTGAAATTTCTTCTTCTGCAAAACTGTTAAAGATGCAGAAACTCTGTCCTCCATGTTATGTAGCCACCCTTAAACTCTGATATGTGGCCCTTCTGAAGCAAGGGCCTGCCTCTTTCCATTGTTGTTGGTTTATTTGGCTTTTTATCCACTCTCTACAGCATAAGGCCTTCCCCATTTCCTTTGCTCTCTGTTGCAGAATCAAAACAACTGTTATAGATCACATATACAAAGTTCTAGGTAAGAGGGCACAGCAGAGTCTGCTGTACTTTGGTAAATACTGTAAATGGATGTTAAAGTAGGCCTATCGATCTTTCCCAGTCTGTAAATAAAACTCCTGTCTCACTCACTACCATAATAAGTCACTGAAACTCTTCTGAAATAGTACATGGCCATCAAATTAAACTACAGTTTTAAAAAGAAAGAAAGAAAAACGAAAAGCCAGGCAAAGCAAACCAGTAGGCTTTATTAGTACCTCACAGCCATGAGCTGATTCTTCCTCTAAGTATACCACACAGCTGTTCTGGCTAATTCTCAGTGGCATATTCCACACTGTCCTTACGGAGCCTCAGTTAATATTTGCCTTCTCTGATAAAGAAGACATCAGGAAGGATGCACATCCTTGACAAATCCAGAAGAAAGCACCAAATATTCTAGACACAGAGCTGTCACACATTATGCAGATTATGCTATGGAGGCAGCAAAACTCTCCCCCTAGGTTTCTGCCTTTTACAAGAAGCAGCAATTATAGTATTACGACCATGAAGAATAATGGCAACAGTACTGAAAATGGAAACACCAAGCCAGATTAGCATTCTTGGAAAGTAAAAGCGGGCGGCTTCTGGCTGTTAATCCAAAGGCAAGAGATGTGTATATGGGAGCCTTCCCCCAACCTGCTGCCCTCCAGATGGGTGCGACAGCTAGGCTTTGTAGGTGTTGTAGTCCAACATAGCTGGAGGACACAAGGTTAGGAAAAGTGTGGGCTTGCTGACGATCTAGCCTGGTCCAAAATCAGAAAAAAATAATTCTTGGACTACTGCTACCAGAACCCTTCGTACTGATTGGTCGATTTTGAAGGTTGTAGTTCAAAAAAGTAACTTTCCCAGGCTATGGGCTAAGGTGGATGGATAGGATGCTGGACTGCTTGTACATCAGATTGATGCCAAAAGGCTTTGATCAAATACAAAGCACAAGTCTCTGTCAGACTCCGAAATGTTATTAAAATGTGAGCTTGGAACAGAAATAGAGACTGTTGTAGTTTCCCCCCCTGCCCTTCCCACAGGAGACTTTAAATCACAGTTGAGCCTGTCTTGGGCTATTTACACCCATATGATTGTTGCTGGTGGAGAAGGAAATTGGGAAAAAGTGTTTGTAATATAAATTAATGCCTTACACAAAGGGATCTGTGGTTCCTCCCATTTTTTATTGGGGAAAGCAGCTTCTGTTTTTTAAGAGTCCCATGTTCAAAGCCACAAAAGGGAATCTAACTGTTATTATTTCTCTTGTTACTTTAAAGAAACAGTGCACACCCATGGTGTGGCAGATCTTTACCAGCTGTGATGCTGTAAAAAATGAGTCAAAGCATTTTAGAATTTTGCGGGTTTGTAATTCAAATGTACAAAACCTATGTAGGAATATGTGTTTGATTTAAAACACTTCTTAAAAATTCCTACCTGTCCTTCTTTTATTAAATGACCATTCATGGCTGAGCAGCAGTAACATAAGAAACTCAAGGGCACTTAAACATAAGTGGCGAAAACACCAGTCACTCCATATGCATTCTTTTTAAGAATCATGAAGCATGATTCTATTCATCTTTACTTTAAAGTAATCCCCACTGTGTTCAACAGTGCCAGTTACATACATAGCATTGAAGCCTAAGTACTGAATACTAAATCATGTATCACAAAAACATTCATTAGCTATAACTGATAGTTCTCAGAATCTACTATACACTCCCTGTATAAACACATAGGCCTCAATCTAATGGTCAGCCCCAATTAATATAGACCCATTCAGAATTGATCTAATGGGTCTACTCTAGTTTAGCTGCCTAGGGAATTCTAAAAACACAAATCTGCTCACCTCTAGTTGAAACTAACTATCTGATTTAGGCCATGAGATTATGTTTATTTTCAATTATCCAAATATTTGGGACAAGTGAAATAATAGCATAGAGTAGCCCATTCTCAACGCTTGACAAGATTGTGCCTTCAGCTCCATACACCTATGGAAAAAAGAAAATCACAATGCTCAATAGGCATCCTGGTGATCACTTACCATCTGGAACGAAATAATAATGCACTTCCCTCTAAAACAAAGACATTCTGAAATATCCTCAGTTCAGAAAAGTTTGGTTTTTAGACCACAGATCCCAGAATCCCACAATGATGGATGGGAATTCTGGGAGCCGTAATCCAAGATAATAGTATAATTATTGATCCAAGCTAATCCAAGGTCATAAAATGTAATAGTCTATTCTTAAGCAGTCAAAGATTATACTGACAAATAGCCTAGATGCAAACAGGTTTATAAATAAACCAGTCTCATTAGGATGTGGAATGTTTCATGAAGTGATTGATAATGTTTTCTGTGCAGGCTGTGGCTTCTTTGACAGCTTGTGTTATAGTTTATCCTAATGACTGGGTGGCAGGGGGCAGGTTTGAAGATGTCATGGCCAAGAACTATTGTTCATTAACCAAGCCAGAAAACCCAAAGACACTTTAAAATAAAAGAGTTTGCTTCATGCATTGTTGCAAACATAAACTTTTAAAAAAGTTACCCAGAAGTGTGGAGCTTCTGGGTGGGTATTTGGCCAGAGAAGGGAAATTAATAATAGCACCTGTAGCACTTCGTGGAAATAGGAAACAGTGGGAGAAATAGGATGCTCTCTTGGAACGGTGACGCTCTGCTCCTGATTGGTTGCTGGAGGCCCTACCCTCTCCTGTTCAGCTTTTATTAGGAATGATCTTCCAGTTTTCAAGTAGCACTACAGTCCTTGGGTCCCCCCCCCTTTCAGGGGTGAACATCAAGATCTTGGAGGTTCTGTACAAGCAGGGTACCATATTCAGAAACCCAAGTGAGATTCTATGGTTTCTTTCATCTTATGAGAGAAACCATCCATGAATAAACTCTGGCAAGTTTAAGTCAAGTATCTTCTATATAGGGCCAAATTTCCAATCTCCTTCTACAAGGACGGTACATTGCAGACTAGTTGTTTCTGTTTTTCATCAGCCTGGCTAGATGGTGACGATGATGATTAGCCAAGTTCCTTAAAGCTGTGCTCATTTTTCTTTAAAAGGTGGTAAAGCTACACCTACTAGAGGCAGCACAAAACTGATCTGTCACTTTATCTGTGATAGCTGTATCACACAATGCCATCACTCCACAATCTAGAAGTGAAACCACATGAATAAATTCATCTTTCTATCATCTTAGCAGAAAGAAAAGGAACGACTGAAATGAAATCATGGGTCGTTTCACCCCCATCTTTGTATCAGGACTGGGGCCTGATGAAGAAGAAAAAGGAAAATTATTTTTGAACCCTATCCTAGATTGGCCACAGTCACTCTTTTGAAAAAAGCTGTTTGTGTTGGTTTATTAGAACATGCGCAAGAACTACAGGGTGTTACATAACACCTTTATAATGATGCAAAGCTGAGAGCAAAACCCATTCTGATTATGGCTTCTGGAGAGATAAAAAGCTTGGTTGTCACTCTGAGATATTTTCCTTGGTCCTAATAAAGGTATTGCATGACTGTGGAGTCAGTTTGCAGAGACTGGTGATCACCTCTCCATTTGCAGAGACTGATGATCAACATAAACAAATGATAATTCATGGGGAAAATATTCTATTGTAGGAGGCAAAGAGATGTCGGTAAGGCAAAATATTTTATCCATGTAACATGATATTGAGGGACTCTCATTACAGTTAGAGATACTTCTCTCTAATCAATTTTATCCACATACTGTGTGAATGTATGTGTATAGTATTTGACTTAAGCCTGGATGATTCCTGGTCCTCCCTCAGACAATCCCATACCATTAGCTAGTCCGTAAACAAGGAAGGGTAACCCATTTACTCAGTTACTCCCCCACCCTGCCTCCAACACATTAGAAATAACCCCTTGACTGTTCAGATTCTCCTTTTGTTATAAAATACATTAATTTAATGCTTTGCCTGTTCAAAAAGCACATTAAAAAACAGCACCTACAATTTGGAAAAAAGGGTCAGGGGGAGATTTCAAATGATCCCAACTTAATCAGACCTTTTCAGAACATGAACTAAATGCTTCAAAAATTTTGTTTTTTGTGTTTTAAGTGTCAGACAAATGGTCTTGTTTGTTCTTTTTTTTAAAAAAAAACAACCCTCAAATATTGGAGATGTAGCACTTGAAAGTCTAGACTCTGAAGTAGAAAATAGGTTCTGTGAAGGGTTTTTGTTTTGTTATGTTTTAAGATCAGACTGATGGAAATAGATCTGCCACAAAGATTCTCCCAATGTCTGAACACACCATGTATGTACCACTGCATACAAACCTATGTGTGTTTCCTGTCTACTGCCCCATGATGTACTTCTCCATTTGATTAAATCCTTAACACCATCTGCCTTTTGCTGAGTCAATTCCTAAACCAATTCATCCCATCCATTTACTATTCTCTTAATAGAAGGGCCAAGGGCTCTTGACCTGACTTCATATGGGTTGTTGCCATCTCTGAAGAAGCAGGAAGGGCCGCGGCAGAAAGCTTTCAGATGCTCGTCTGGAGGTCTCCATTAAGTAAGGTCCTCTGGGTTTCTGTAGCTTCATTTAGCCTGGACTTATCCTGCTTGCTGTCGCTCCTGTCAGTCTCGTCCATGCCACTGACCTTCACTAGGCAAAGGACATTCTGGAAGCTTTTCTTGAAGTTGTCAGATAAGAAGGCATAAAGGATAGGGTTGGCACAGCTATTGGCATAAGTGAGAACCACTACAAAATCAAACATGCCCTTGAGGACAGGTGTTGGCACAATCAAAACAGAGACTGATGAGACATTAAAAATGTAGAAGGGCAGCCAACAGAAAATGAAAACGGCAACTACAATGGAGACCATCCTGGTTACTTTCTTTTCAGACTTCTTTCTTTTGGAGGAGCCTACCCTGATACCAGAGGACTTGACCTTGATAATGATAAACAGGTAACAAAGACAGATGATGGTAAGGGGCACCAAAAAGCCCAGAATAAAGGCATAGATGATGAAGCCAGCATACCAAGCACCAGAATCATCTGGCCAGATCATGGTGCAGCTACTGCTTCCATGGTTATTGCTCACTCCAGCATATATCATGATTGGCAGTATGACCAGTAGGGAAATGCCCCAGACAGCTACATTGACCATCTTTGCTGTTCTTGGCCGCCTCCATTTAGCAGATTTTATGGGATGTACTACAGCAAGGTATCTGTCCACACTCATGACCGTGAGGCAGAAGATGCTGGTGAACTGATTGATCCCATCCACTGTCATGACAATTCGGCAGATGGCCTTCCCAAAGGGCCAGTGGACCAGAGCCACCTGCATAGCTAAGAAGGGCAATCCCAACATGAAAAGTTCGTCTGCTATGGCCAAATTGAGTATGTATATGTTGGTGATGGTCTTCATCTTGGCATAGCGGAGAATGACATAGATGACCAGCGTGTTACCACATAGGCCCACAATGCACACCACAAAGTAAATGAAGGTAAGGACGGCATTGCTGGTCAAGTCATAGTGGTGGCTTGTGTTGTTGGCAGAGGTGTTGGTGGCAGGAGTCTCTGGAGAGAAACTGTCAAGCTGGGAGGGGGAGGGGCTCCAAAAGTCCGTGGTGTTAGGCAGTCCATTTTCCAGGTCCATGGTGCACCTCCTGTGACTCTCTACCAGGAAAATGCTACTTCTCAAGCCAAGAAAGCTATCATGCTGGCTGACTCTTGATGGTCCGCGATAAATTGAGAGTACCTAGAATCCAAGCACAGAATAAAGACAAAATCAATAAAGGAAGCACTGAAATACTATATCCTCCCAGGTAAGAGAAACCCTCTCTTAGTCTTGCCTGCTTCAGAGGCATGTTTGAGGTGGTGAAATAAGGCTTATTTGGTGTTTGCTCCCATCCTGTGGAGCTTCTTGCTGAGGAGATCTAGGTCGGCTGTTTCCCCGATAGCTTTTGCCAACACACAAAACCTTTCTTGTTTTGGCAGGCCTTCAGCAGCTAATGAATTGCTAAGGGCTGGGGCTTTTAAGAATGTACTGTACTATATTTTTTGACTGCTAGTTATAATTATTTCAATTGAGAATGGTTTAAACAGATCCAGTTGCATTCTGTTTTAAAAAGAACACTATTTGACATGTTTTAATATTTATAATGGCTTTTTCTAAAAATGCATCTGGTTTTCTGGGAGAAAGGTAGGATACAAATCAAATCAGTGTTTTTATACCATCTTCTTGTGGGTTCCTGCATCAACTCAACTTTCTACAACCACAGACCAGGGGCTGCTCCTATGTCATTACCAGGATAACCTGGTGAAAAAGAGGGCATGGCTCCTGCACTTTGCTAGTAATAGGAAAAAGGGAATTTCCCATGGCAGCATTTCCTCTTTTTCACATGATCACCCCAGTCACTCTCTCATCAAGGGATTGTTGAGTTTTCCTTTGAACTGGATTGAGAGGAATGGTAACAATCTTCTGGCAAATATATTGATTCTGAAAGAGACCAAAAGCTTCAAGCATACAGTAGGAATCACAAGGTGGTCAACAGATTCATCTCTCCCTACCCTATGTCAATCAATCATACTTTAATAAAAAATTCAGAAACAAATTGCCCAATTTTGTGTCTGTTCATCATCTAGTTTGAGAGCAAAGCACCAGCAAGGGTAACATCTGCCTGTGTCCACAATGCCTGTCCTCCATAGCCTTAAACAACTCCAATACTTATATTTGGGTTGTTTGTTTATTTGTTTGTTTACTGCTCCATTTGTGCTGAAGCACTATTCTGGGTGGTTTACAGACAGTTAAAACAAACCACACAAAAGTAAACATAAGATAAATAACAAAAACATAGTCAAAAACTTAAAGAAGGGTGCAACCAATTTTCAAAGAGAGGCAAGACCGGAGGAGAGTCATTCAACTGGGGTCAATGTAAAAGGCCTCCCTGAATAGTAGTGTTTTCAACAGCTTCCTAAAGGAATACAGGAAGGGGGGCAGGTGTAACTCCTCTGGGAGTTGATTTCATAACATAGGTGCCACTGCTGAGAAGGCCCTACCTCTAGTAGATGACTTTCAGGCCTCTCTCAGGGTGGCTACATAAAAGACTCCAGCCTGAGATCTGGTGGATCAGGCAGATAACACTGGGGAGAGATGCAAACCATGAAGGGCTTTATACTTGAGTGTCAGGACATTGAACCTGATCCAGGACACAATGGGGTAACCAGTGGAGGCTGGCCAGCACTGGGGTGATGTGATAAATTTGCTTACACCAGCCATCATTCTGGCTGCCACATTCTGTACCTGCTGTTGTCTTGGGGTCAGTCTCAAGGGAAGCCCCACCGCATTGCAGTAGTCGACTTGAGGGATCCCTCATCTAGGTTGAAGTGGAGTTAAGCGAAATATTAAACTGCTTAAAAGCCAATCTGGACACTGCTTCCATCAAGGAATCCCAAGAAAGAGCTGGGTCCAGAAGAATGCCCAGATTATGATCTCCAAATGGGAGGGCAGTGCCATCCAGTCTAGGGATGAAGACTAGAATGATGATGGCAGAAAACTTATGAATCCAACTGAACACGGGCTAGAGAACATTGAAAGGCCTATTCCATGGCAGTAGTGGCAGCAAAGAAGCCATTCTTCGCTGCCACCATTGCTTCTACACAGAGTCGGCCATCAGAGCGGGTAAGAAGGAATGCCCAGCCGTTGCTCAGCTGGGACCTCTCACATCATGGCCTACAGACAGGTAGTACTGACCACTCAGAAGCTTGCTGTGAAAAATTTGTAGGCATAATCACTCAGATTCACTCTAACTTAGATGCTGTAGTTAATACAGGTCCTATAGATGTAACTTCGGCTCCTGCTTGTCCATTATTGATGAATACGTTTCAGTTTTTGCAGCCTGATGATGCGGACAGTATCCTTGGAGAGGTGAAGGCTACCACTTGTCTCCTGGACCTTTGCCCTTTCTGGCTTATAAAAACTGCCAGAGAGGGACTGGACAAGTGGGTCCAAGGGGTAGTGAATGCCTCCTTTTCAGCAGGGTAGCATCCCAGCATGCTCAAAGGAGGCAGTACTAAGACCATTACTGGAAAAGCCCTCCTTGTACCCCACAGTATTGGATAATTACCAGCCAGTCTCTAATATCCCATTCTTGGGCAAGGTGCTGAGCCAGTTGTGGCTTCTCAGCTCCAGGGGTTTCTGGATGAGATGGATTATCTAGATCCATTTCATCTGGCTTCAGGCCTGGTTATAGGAGAGAGACTGTTTTGGTCACCTTGGTAGATGACCTACGCCCTCTGTTGGTTCTGCTGGACTTCTCGGTGGCTTTTTATACCACCGACCATGGTATCCTTCAGGGCCATCTCTCTCAGTACGATTTGGAGGCCTTGTTCTACAGGGGTTTTGGTTCTTCCTAAAGGGGAGAACTCAGAAGATGGTGCTCTGGGACTCCTGTTTGACACACCAGCCTTTGGTGTCCCTCAGGGATCTGTTTTGTCTCCACACTATTTAACATCTACATGAAACCGCTGGGAGAGGCTGTCTGGAGCTTTGGGGTTTGGCATTATCAGTGACATCCAACTCTATCTCTGCTTCCCATCCAAATCCAAGGAAGCTGTTTCAGTTCTAAATCAGAACTGAACTAGACTGGATGAGGGCAAATAAACTGAAGCTTAATCCAGACAAGGCAGAGGTGCTCCTGGTCAGTTGAAAAGCAGGTGAAGGAACAGAGTTGCAGCCTGTGCTGGATGAGGTTACACTACCTCTGAAAACACAGATGGGCAGCTTGGGGGTGGGTGCTCCTGGATCCATATCTGAGCCTGGATGCCCAGGGTATGGGGCTGGCCACGAGTGCCTTTGCACAGTTAATACTAGTGCACCAGGTGCGCCCATTTCTTGAGAGGTCTGATCTGGCCATGGTGGCATCTCAATTGGATTACTGTCAGACACTTTACCTGGGGCTACCTTTAGAAAATGTTCAGAAACTACAGAGGGTCCAAAATGCATCAGCTAGACTGCTGACTGAGACTGGTTACAGAGATTATATGACACCCCCACCCACCCACACCAATTATAGCAGCTCTACTGGTTGCTGATCCGTTTCCAGGCACAATTCAAAGTGCTGGTTTTATCCTATAAAATCTGAAACAGCTTGGGTCCAAGCTATCTAAAATACGACATCTTCTATGAGCCTGCACAAGCTATAAGATAATCAGGGGAAGCCTTTCTCTCAGTCCTGCTACTCTCACAGGTGTGCTTAGTGGGGACACAGGAGAGGGCCTTCTCTGTTGCTGCTCCCAGACTCTGGAACTCCCTTCCATGGGAAGCTAGGATGGCCCCATCATTGATGCCTTGGGTCCAAGCTATCTAAAATACGACATCTTCTATGAGCCTGCACAAGCTATAAGATAATCAGGGGAAGCCTTTCTCTCAGTCCTGCTACTCTCACAGGTGTGCTTAGTGGGGACACAGGAGAGGGCCTTCTCTGTTGCTGCTCCCAGACTCTGGAACTCCCTCCCACGGGAAGCTAGGATGGCCCCATCATTGATGTCCTTCTGCAAGCAGGCAAAGACCTCCCAATCAGTTTCCCTTAATAACTGGTGGTCTGAAAGGTGTTTTTAAACGAGTAGCTGTGCTCTGTTGTTTTAAATGTGTTTTGGTATTGATTTTATTACTGTATTACATATATTCTAATGTATGCTTGTTTAATTCATTTTTAATATTTGGTAAAGGAGAGATAGAGCAGCATGTCATTAGCATACTGATGATACCTTACTCCAAACCTCCTGATGACCTCCCCCAGCGGCTTAACATAAATGTTAAACAGCATTGGGGATACAGATGACCCCTGGGGCACCCCACAATTGAGGGTTTAAGGGGCCAACAACTCATCCCCAGTTGAACACTCTGGACACAGTCCTTGAGGAAGGACCAGAGCCAGCTTAATGCTAGGGCTGTCCAGAAGGATACTGTACCGTGTTTGATGGTATCAAAAACCGCTAAGAGATCAAGGAGAACCAACAAGGTACAATGACCCCTGTTGGCCTCTTTTAAAAGGTCATTGTAGACCAAGGTCATCAAAAGATTCCTTTGTGGCCTGAATCCAGACTGGAATGAGTCAAGGCAATCCTGCTCCTCCAGGTATGTCTGATGCTGGTTAGCCACAACCCACTCAGTCACCTTGCCCATAAAAGGAATGTTGGCAATTGGATTAAAGTTAATAAAATAATCCATTGCCAATTTGATGATGGGTTGGATGATAGTTTCTTTTACATGGGAGGGAAGAACTCAATCCACCATAACCCCTTTAGCAGCTTTTATTAGCCAGGCAGGGCAAGGGCTCAGCACAAAAGTAGGAGGTCTATAGCCAGCCAGCACCCTGGACACTTCCTCTGATGTTACAGGGTCAAACTGAATCAAAGGGGCAGATGGAGACGGTGGAAGCAGCAGTCCACCCACCCACCCCTAGTCAGTTAAGCTGGATCCAGACTGGCCATTCCATGCATGAAAGGACTACTCCTATTCACAGAAGGCGCCAAGATCAATGAAAACTCCCAACTGAAGGAAATGGTGGGGAGGCCATCTTCACCAAATGTCTTTTCTCTGGGAAGGCCTCTCATGATATTCCAGGGGTCCACCATACTTCCTAAACAGTTTTCCAGCAGATGTGCCGGCAGAGTGAGGAATAACAAAGCTGCTTTCTAGCCTCCTTTTTTTCATTCACAAGTGGAACTCCTCCTGGGGCTAAGCTGGATCCCAAT